GGGGGGGGGGGGGGGGGGGGGGGGGGGGGGGGGGGGGGGGGGGGGGGGGGGGGGGGGGGGGGGCACACGGATCGATGTTTCATAGGACGGTTGGGGTGGTTGATGGATGAGACCGCCGGAGAATCGGGATCAAGCGGAAACTGACATTGGGAGGGATGAGGCAAGACAGACCCATAAGCAAACATTCACGTCTTCCTGATGTGGTCGATGACAATGAAACTGAGAAGAACATTCTACCGTCCGTTGAACAAAACGGGGGGAGGATCGGGTGCTCATGAAGTACTCACATCGCAGATGGCAGAAGTAAACGCTGGTGCTCCAAAAAAATCACGATATCTACCACGCCGGACCGCTCTATCGGGGGAAAATACAAGCCTGCATCTGCCCGATTCTGATCCTGAAGGCCTGCTTCTCGCCCTACTCCACACCTCCTAGAGGCCCGACAACTTAGCGACCGAACAAAGACACGCTATCTAGATCTGGTGTGGTCTTGATTTTTTTTTTCGCCAGACAACGGTATAGCGACGCCGCGACCGGCTTTACGGGGGACAGGGCCACGCACCGGCTCCTTAAAACCGCCAGCATGCCCATGCGCAGGAACGTCGAGTCCAGCAGCTCGGCGCGATCCCGGAACCCTGAGGCAGCAGCAGCAACGCCCGTCGTGGCGGGTGCAAGCGGTGTCGTTATCTAGTGATCACTTCAGTCGGCATCGTGCTTTCGGAAGGAGCAAAGACGTTTCCTGCCTTGCGTACAAGATACGCTGCTCTTGGTGGTTGAAACGCTACTACTGTGTAGTCGGTGTCACGGAAGAGCACGCTCGAGTCCTCACTTGATATGTCTACGCCGTGAGAAAGGACCACGGTAGACTGCTGTTGTGGTAGACATCATGCTTAGCACCGTAGCGCCGGCAGCATCAGTAGCGCAAGACGCCAAGCAACGTACACACCACGATGGGCACAAAACACGCATGCTTTGTTTCTCTCCCCGATACGTTTGCATGATGCGGTGCCTCGAAGTGGGGGGACACTCGAAACAGGTTGCATACGTACGTACGTACGACATATTCAGGTTGAAAAAAAAATGAATAATTGCTTCTTTGCTTGGTTGAGATTTTTCGGGCTCTTCGAGTCAGAAAGACACGTCATCTGTGGGTTGTTCCTGCTGACTGGTTTCTTTCATCTTGCATCACATCTACCCTTGCTGTGCTCTCATGAGCCCACTCCGGAGGGATCCATTGTACTATCTGGAAAACAAGTATTGTGCCTCGGGGCACATCACAACCACTCACCGGCTGTTCCATACTTGAGCACCTTGTCCGGTTTGGCGACCTTACACTCCTCCGTGAGAAGGTTCGGGTACTTCTTCTCCACGAGGTTCCCCTGCACCTGCTCCACTGATTTAACATAAATAAAAAAATGTAACGGCAGGGAGGGTTTTGTGATAGGGGAAAGGCGAAAGAGGAAAGCAGAGTTGCCTTGTGGATAGGAGCAAATCGCGTGACAGGACGGGTGTAGGCCATGCTGCCAACGCTGGGGCTAACAGCGTGCTGTGGCTGCCTGCAGATATGCATACTATCCGATCTGCGAATGAGCGCGTAGGCTCCTGCCACGTGTCGGACGGCATACATGCATGGTAGTTCGGTGAAGAGTATTTGCAGAAGTTGACACGTGCGTTGAGGGACTGGTGCCCGACCCCGTCTGATGCTGACTCCACTTCCATACTTTATCCAATGTACCAAAGGAGACAACCTTTCCGCCGTTTCCAACTGCACCTGAGTACCGATATCACTAAATAGCGAACATTATGAAGAGGCTTCGTGTGTGCTGCATGTTCGTTGCTGCTGAAGCTGAAATATCGAAGGTCGTAGTGGCGGCCTTCAATCTCCGCAAATTAGACCAAACTAGTCCGACACTGATTATAAGTGTCTTGTACTGGTTGTGCTTTCCGCAACGAACGGTAGACCCCTGAACGGCGGGTCGTCAGCAATAGCTAGTGGCATCAGCTGCTGCTGAAAGCCCGCAGTTCAGGGGATTGAAGTCAGTGATAGCGAGCACAAGCAGTACAAAACACTGGGTGTCGGCCTAATTCGCGGATATTTTGTGGAGATTGAAGGCCGCTACTTCAGTCTACAAATCTTCGATATTTCAGCTCCAGCAGCAATCCTGAACGTGCCAGCGCACACGACGCCACTTCATGGTGTACTCAGGTGCAGTCAGAATGCGAAACCAACCTTATTTGAGCGTCTGCCGTTTCGGCTCTTTTGCTTTTGACTTGAATATTGAGTTGTGTGGTTTTTTTTTTATTTCAAAGGGGGCCTGTGAAGGTAGACTCATGGTATGTACTGGAGTATGTTTTAAGCAGCCTCTACTATCGCCCTGGGCGAGAACCAACGAGTCTGTTTCCAGACGCCTTCCGGCAGGTCTTGTGTGCCTCGTGTGCATTTTCGGTTGCTCTTGCGGTTTGTTCCACAATCAGTCAATTTTCAACAATGGGTTGGCATCAGGCCAAGTTGACCAGGCCCGTAAAAAACGAATTACTGTGGTGTTATGATGGTGAACAACGTCTTTTGGTTTTTATAACGTAGTTTAGCGATTGTGGAGGCATGTATGCATATATGCTACCGGATGAAAAGTATGCAGTTTTTCCGTTGGAAGCGTCGAGTGCCGACAGCACAGACAGCCCGGCAATCCCTATATAAAATTGTTCCGATAAAACAAAATGTGTCCCGTTTGATTTAATGGGCGGAAGGGAGCCAAGCAACAAGAGAGCAAAGCAGCATTGCTCTTGAACCTGTCTTTCTCCTACTCTCGCCCATGCTGCTGCTGCTGCTGCTGCTGCCGCTTGAACTCTACAGACGTCGGTGCAAGAAGGTGCAGTAGCCACATGAGCAAGATGACGGCGCAAAAAGATGGGGGACACTTGCCACAGAACAAAAGAGAGAACAACCAAGCCCGAACAAATGACCCAACTGCTCGCAACTTCTATGCGTCTCTCTAAACAAAGGAATGCTGACGCCCAAGAGGGGGGCAGGATCAGCGCGGCAGTGCTTGCCAGATGATGGGCAAGGGAAACTATCATGGTAATGTTAGATTGGATGGGTCAGCACAACGCCGAAGGTGCTCATCGATCAATCTTTCAACTTTCCAGCGGCGGTGCAGCAGGGTACCAGAGAAAGGAAAAACCGCCCGCGCACAAAGAGTACACCATTTGCATTCCAAGACAAATCCGATACCTACAGCAACAGCGCAAGGGCTTGCAGCAGGAGCACTCGAGGCAGCAAGGACAGCCACCCATGGGCTCTCTCCTTCTTTCATTCCGACTTCTCTCTCTCTCGTCCTCTTCAAAATTCCGATATATACCCCATGTTGCGCGCAACTTGCGGACAGTCCAATGCACGAAAGTCGGTGCTTGTCTCAAACCTTCAGCCCGGACTGAGACCGTCTACACGCTTGAACTCACTTCTGTTTCTCTTTTGAGCCTGCTGGCTGTCCTCGGAGGTAGGTTATGATTGCGGCGTAGTCGTGGCGAAAGTTGTTGATGTGTGTGCTAGTGTCATGCAGCAGGCCAGCTGGACTCTTCGAAGCGGCACAAGCTTACATTTGTAGGCCGAGTCCGGTCCCGAGGGGGAAAAAGTTCTGGTTCCCCAGGACGGTTCTTCCGAGGGGACACACTAAACCAGTAGTGCTCACGACTTTGTCGACAAAATAAAGTTACAGGAATATTATA